AAACCCAAGCCCACATGGCTGCTTTGTCCACGCTGGCGAGCGGCCGCCGTCCCGCCGCCGCCTTTCTTCGCCCAATGCGTGCTGAGGGAACGTGCAGATCCAAAGTCGGAGTCGACGGACATGGCAGGAACTACAACCGCAAGGAAAGAGACACGGTCATGGAAACGCACCTTGAGGGGTTTGGCTGGCACGTCCTCCCCAAGCACTAGCCCCACCACGGCTATGATTTTTGAGAGGTAAGCCACCTTTGCCTCCTTGTCCTGCACAGGCACGTGGCAGGGGGCGTGCACTGTCAAAAGGCGGCGCTTGCGCGCGGGGCGCGCAGGTAGCGGGCGCATGGGCGGCTGGGGCCGGCGGCCAGCCGCCCGGCGTGCAGTGTGCGGTGAGGCTGGCCGAGGGGCGGCGGGGCCGGCTGGCATGGGCGCTATATGCACATTGATTTATCACGAGGCCGCCAGCACGCCAGCCGATGGGGGGCACAGGCCGCATGTGGTGTTCTCTAGCAGGGGACCTCACTGTGAGCAGCTGCCACGAAGCTGCGCCGCACCTGGATTGCGTGTGGGTCGAGCTCAGGGCCCTGAAATAGGCCTGCAGCAAAGCCTGTCTTTGCCTGGACCTGCGCGTGCCCAAGCGATAAAGGATAGCAGGGAATGCCGGTCCGTCGGCGTCGCGGGCGACGCAGCGTCGCCGCCTCCACTGTTTGGCGGGAACGCGTTTGCCTGTCCGCTCGAGCGCATCCCGCACGCACCGCCGATATGACATCATGTAGGAAGCGAAACGGGGGCCGAGAGAGAAGCTTGCTTGTGAGCCTGGGCTTGTCGACGAGCGGGTCCTCGCCCCCCTGCAAGATCGCTTGCGTCGGGGTCCAAAATCCCTCATCTCCCTCGGCCATATTGGCTCTTCTTCTATATGAGGTTTTGGTCTAGCGGATGCATTCACAGCGCAACGATCGCGCAGGATAATAACTAAAGGGGACCTGCCTATATCTTGACAAGGGTTTAGAGTTTTTCAAGACACTGATGGATTAATTTTATCAACGGGTCAGACAAACGTATCCGGTGCGGCCGCAAGTCACTTGGTTTGACCATGGTGACATAGGAATGGGCCGACACAACTTGCGACTCAGTTGTGTCGGCCAATCACAAGATTTCAGCCGTAAAAGGCTCCCATGTCACCCGTGTGGAACGATGTGATCTACTGCCCCGCTCAACAACACCTGCCACCTAGCCGCCCACACCGGCAGCTATGGCAAATATAGGGACTTATCAGCTCAGCTATGACGAGCAGCAGCGCGCGAAGTCCGAGGGCTTGGCGCGCGCCCGGATGCGGCGCCTGCTCGCCGTGCGCGAGCGCGACAGGCAGCTCGCAAAGTCGCGCGCCCGCTCCTACCAGGCGCTCTGCGATGAGTCCGCGGCGCGGCTGCGGCGCGAGCTGATCGCTTTGCTTGAGGAGCAGCGCGCCGCCGAGCTCGCCGAGCTGCAGCAGCAGTGCGCGCGCGCGGCCGCAGGCCTCGCCGACGCGCACCGCCG